TGGGAATTAAGCTTTTTTGTGCTATTAAGCAACTTATTTTCTATTAAATTTATTACTACGGGTATATGAGGGTAGTTTGATCTTGGTAGGTTCATTTTATAAATGGGTAGCTTACGAAATCATGTAATGATTCGAATTGCTTTTTAATTAAATGCCTTGAATAATCTTACCATACGCATGCATTGGCAGCTTTGACTCTTCAGTGTTTCTGCCTTGCTTTTTTTTCTTGCTTTATTGCATTGGTTGGGACCACCCGAATAGTATTGCATAAAATTAGTGACAGAAGATACTTTGTATGCTTCTAACGTTTTATTAGTACATATAATATTTAGTAAGTTAAATAAAGGAAGTTACCTTCTATTACTAATGAATTTGGACATTTAATCAGGTAAATGTGTTGGAAATTTTTGGCATCTTTTGAAATTACGGCTTTTCTTTTATCTTTTAATTTACTGATTAAACAGTAGACTTCTTAAGACTAAGGCATCCTTGCATTTCTATTATAAATCTTATTGAGTTATAATATGGAATTCTTGTAATATCTTGCTGATTCAATATAACATTATTCATATTTGGAGGCTATATTTATAACATAACTTTACACATATATAGATAAAATATCTATGTCTGTATTCATATATTTAAGGCTGTATGCTATGTTTGACTGATTGATTTTATCATCAGGAATATTCAAGTTACAGAAAATGAACTGGGAAAGTTTCTACTTTTTTATTTTTTATTTTTTGCTTTGGAAAAGTATAAATAGGATAAAAAATTTTAGAACTTACCCCAAAAAACCACTTGGCCCTTGTACATTTTTACTGTATAGAATTTTTACTATAATTGTAATTGTTTTGTGTTTAGATTCTCTACTTTTCTTTTTTTTTTTTTCACTAACCTTTTCTAGAAACTCAATTATGGCATCTATATTTCCAAATTTCTTGTTGTAATATTTTTAACATTTTACATTTGTCTTCTCTATAGCTCTTATTAACCTTGCCAAAGGTTTATATTATTTTGACAGAACTAGCAATTAATTGTAAAGATATAGTCTCCTTTTTACATTTTTCCCCCTTTTGGTTATTGTTTTACTTTGCCTTCTTTTATACAATTCCTCATTTTATCTTTGTTATTTATTTCCTCTTGCTTTCTATGATCATGTAGGTCTTTACTACTTTTGTTGTGGAATCACATTTTAAATTTTAATTTAATTATATTTTTAACTATTTTAAAAATAAGTGCTTAAATGCTGTATTTTTTAAAAATTACTTGAGCTATATTTCATAGGCTTCAATGAACACACACTTAATTGTTATCATAATAAATAATTTTACATTTAATTTTCAGTTATTCCATTATCAAATTGTTTTTTAATTGCCCAAAGAGAAACTTTTTAAAAAGTTATTCTTTTGTTGTTAATTCCTATTTGGTACAGAAAATGTTTCTTTTTTTTTAAATATATATTTATTTTTTTTTTTAATTTGTAAAAATGTTTTATTTATTTTTGAGACAGAGAGAGACAGAGCATGAGCAGGGGAGGGGCAGAGAGAGAGGGAGACACAGAATCCGAAGCAGGCTCCAAGCTCCGAGCTGTCAGCACAGAGCCGGATGCGGGGCTTGAACTCACAAACCACGAGATTGTGACCTGAGCTGAAGTCGGATGCCTAACCGACTGAGCCACCCAGGCGCCCCTAACATATATTTCTTTATTTTTGAGAGCGAGAGAAAGAGAGAGCAGGGGAGGGGCAGAGAATCCCATGCAGGCTCCCTGCTGTCAGCACAGAGCCAGATGTGGGACTTGAACCCACGAACCATGAGATTATGACCTGAACTGAAATCAAGAGTTGGATGCTTAACTGAATGAGCCATCCAGGCACCCCATTTTTTTAATGTGTATTGTTTCTTATGTACTGTGTTTTTTCTTTTGGAATTTCAGATTTCTTTTGAGGTATAATATGTGATTGGTTTTATAAATTGTTTCAGATAATTGAAAATAATGTTCCAGCTTTTTTAGGGAGGCAGAAAGACAATCATAATAGTCATATCTATCAATTAAAACTCATCTCCATTTTTTATTTTAAATTTTAGTTAGTTAACATACTCATCTGCATTTTTAAACATATCTTCATTTATCTCGTCCGCTTGATCTATTTGTGAAAGAAGTGTGTTGATTTTCCATTATAATGGTAGTTTTGTCAGCTTCCTTTTGCTTATATCCTATTTTTACTCTTTGTACATTTTTGTTGCTATGTTACTTGGAGCCTAATAAGTCATAATTATCATAATGGTGAATTTTGCCATCTTGAAATATGATATAAACTACTTTCTCTTTATTTAATTCTTGGCATTCTAAATTTTTTCCCACACATGTCTAATTTTCAATATTTTACATTTAAATATTGTATATTTAATATTCAATATTTTACATTTAATAATATATTGTGTGTATATGATTTAATATATTTTATATTATATTTTAATATTAGCATATTTAATATATATTCCTTTTTTATTTTTACTGTATTTTTGCATTCTTTCATTTCTAATATTTTCTGTTACTTTCTTCTATGTATGTCTTTTCTAAATAACACACATCTTGATTTTTTAACATAATTTTTCTCTTATTTAAGAGGCAGTGCAACCCTTTTGTATTTAGTGTCTATAGCGGTATTATTGAAACTTCTTTTTCATTTTGTGCCACATCATTATCCCATTCCTCTTTTTTGTAGCCTTTTTGGTATCGGCCAGAGATTTTTGGTTCTTTTTTCTAACAACTGGTTTGAAAGCTGTATGTACTATTTCTATTCTTCTAAGAGCCACTTAAAAATTTTAGCAAGGAAATTTAAATTGAAACCATTGTAATCAACAATTGATGACTGTCTACCTGCTCCCTTTCCCTCCCAAAAAGACAAAGCCTTTGTCAGGCTTTAATGATTTATCTTCCTACTCTTCTATGTACTTATGTGAAATTATCTGGAGATTTCATTCCAGATAAGTACTGTTAATGGTAGCAATGGTAGTACTCTTAGCATGATTAGTATTATTATTTACTTTATGTCTCTATTTTACTAGAAGACTTTATTAGTCATTATATTACATTTTACTATCAGATTAGCAACGATTATTTAGATTTTTGTTTTTAATTTTAGAAAGTGAGAGACAATGAGAGCAGGGATGGGGCAGAGGGAGATGGAGAGAGTGAGAGAGAAAGAGAGAGAGAGAGAGAGAGAGAGAGAGAGAATCTCAAGCAGTCTCCTGACACAGGCCTGGATCCCACAACCCCTGGGATCATGACCTGGGGTGAAATCAAGAGTCTGATGCTCAACCATCTGAGCCACCCAGGCTCCCCAACCATTATTTAGATTTAAATTGCATTTTTTGTGTGTGTGACTTATTTGCTGTACTGTATTTGTTATGTTCCAAGTCATTGTCTAGTTTAGATTATTTTCCCCCTGTTTTTCTGGAATAATCCTCAGTTAATTTTCTCGTCTTTATTTTCTGAAAAACCAAGAGGGATCAACTTTCTGAGTCTTTTCTTGTCTGAAAGAAACACCCTCGTTTGTCTTTACACACGACACAGAGCTATCTTGGTTATAAAATCCCAGGTTGAAAATAGTGCCTGCAAATCCTTATAATCATTTATCTTCTAAAATATTTCAAGTAGATAAGGCAAACACCATTTTCCTCTTTAGACATAAGAGTGCCCATTTTCCAATAAGTCATTCTTTCCTAAATGTCCATTATTGTTATACCTCCAACTGGCCCACTGTAAGAACAAGAAATTCTGATTAATAGTTCATCAGGACATTTATAGAGAGCTCTTTCTATCAATGGCAAGCACTTTTCTAACAACACATTCTATGTATTAGCCAAAAGTCCCCGTTTCTGATGTTGTATTTACTAAGGGTACAGTTAGTGCCTGAGTTCTAAAACAAGCTGTGGATTGTCTTATACTTACACCGTACATCTAGCCTGCTGGTCCATGAGGATTTCCCTAATGTTTTCTCAGGAAAGGGTACCCTGAATGTCAGTCACTTCCTCTTGTCCTTGACTGCCAAATCTGTAGACCCACGGGTGGGTCTTCTTAGGCTATTTAAAATGGTTATTTATTTTTGAGAGAGAGAGAGAGAGAGAGAGAGAGAGAGAGAGAGAGGGAAAGTGCAGGCACATGTGGTATGCTAGTGTGCTAGTGGGGGAGGGACAGAGAGAAAGGGAGAGAATCCCAAGCAGGCTCTTCACTGACAGTGCAGAGCCCAGTGTGCGGCCCAGTCTCATGAACCGTGAGATCATGACCTGAGCCGAAATGAAGAGTCAGACGCTTAACCATCTGAGCCGCCCAGGCACCCTCCCTTAGATTTTAAAAGACACTTTTCTTACTGGACTTTGAGATGTCACTAAGAACTGTCATAAATTCTCTTTCAGTCCACCTGATTTCTTATTAGCAAGTGGCTTCCACACATTTGGAACTTCCCTGTCCCCTTCACTTGAAACACTGAGTCTTAAGTTGCGATGAGAAATACAGGATCATCAGGTAGGAGGTAAAGTCATAGTTCTGCAGGTTAGATGCACATGAATAATGTTGTGCTTTAACCGCCGTGGCCAAGGAGTTTAACCTGCTGCCTAAATACTCCTGTACTTGACGGCCTCCCTCAGTGACTCTGCTGACTTCCCGTGGACCTCCTTTCAAGGTTAGGTTCGCTCTAGTACCAGATTCTAAAACCTCTCCCACCCCGAATCATCTTGGGGTCTTTCTTTACGCTCTGTGTCAAGGAACCCACTTTCCTTTAGGGGTTATCTCTAGTTGCTACTCCAGCTGCCTCCAGTGTGTAGATCTTGGATGTCAGGGCCCCACTGGGCCTCTGAGACAAGTTGCATCAAGGTGTGGCTATCTTAGAATAAGAGGCATGCAGAGCACATCTACATATAAAGAGTGCAGACAGGCATGACCGACTCTGGTCATCTGGTCACTCTGTGTGTCCCTCTGTCTTGACCCCTTTTAGGTGGGAGGACACACCATGCTCCCCATCCGTTGGATGCCCCCTGAAAGCATCATGTACCGGAAGTTCACTACGGAGAGCGATGTGTGGAGCTTTGGGGTGATCCTGTGGGAGATCTTCACCTACGGAAAGCAGCCGTGGTTCCAGCTCTCAAACACAGAGGTACAGAAGGGGGTAGATGGGAACCTCAATTTGGGTGAAGGCTGATAGGAGATGGCTCAGGCCAGGACTTAGACATAGTATACAAAACATCAGGTGGGGTTTGGAGCCAGCAGGGCATTATGTAGGCAGAAGCAAGAGCGGGGAGCTTCTTAGTAGGAAAAAAAATTATAGCTGTAGGAATTGTGGCATAATTGTCAAGAGAGCATGAAATCAGATGTTTAAATTGAGATGCGAGTCACGGTCCTGTTTGTTCTGCTACACTTAAACATCACACATGTTTCACTAAGACAGAAAATGAAAACAAAGAACAGCTCTGAGTTCTTCAATTGTGCCATCTTGTGGAAACACCCAAATTATCTGGATTCCCAAAGGCTTTGGGCATCCCAGGGAGGTGCAGCATGGTAGGTGGGGAAGGCACATTTCACGTTCTTGACAGTGACGTGTGTGGACTTCCAGGAATAAAAGGACCCATAAGAGTAAACATAATAATAATGAACACATTCTATGTTTTTATAATTTTGATTTGTAATAATAAAAATATCAGTAATCGGATTTGAGCAATGGTTAACATTTAGTGCCAGGTACGTTTCTGAGCACGTTAGCTGTAATAACTCAGTACTTTCCACAGATACCTGTCGAGATTCAGGGCAGAGGGAAAGGAACTGTTTGGGGTTCTGGAGGGGACTGGCCAGAATCTCCGAGGTGGGAGCTCCTGTGGCATGGAGAGGGCTTGGGCCATGGTCACAGCAGTCCTGGATCCAGAGCCAGTCAGGATGGTTCTCACTTGTGTCTGGACCAGACTCATGTTGCCCTGGAGAACTCAGTACAGTTAGTGGGCAGTAAGGGGCTCGGATTTCCAACCAAGCAGACTGATAAGAGAATGCAATTATTTTTTTTTAATTTTTTAGATGTTTATTTTTGAGAGAAAGAGAGTGCATAAGCGGGGGAGAGGCAGAGAAAGAGGGAGACACAGGAGCCAAAGCAGGCTCCAGGCTCTGAGCTGTCAGCACAGAGCCCAATGTGGGGCTCGTGAGATCGTGACCTGAGCTGAAGTGGGACGCTTAACCTCCTGAGCCGCCCAGGCACCCCCACAGGAGCCTTTGAATATTACGATTTTATCTGAATATTCAAGAAAGTATCTTTGTTTTGGGAAGCTGTGTTCACCTGTGCCCTAACCAGTGAGTTTCTAAGACTGAAAAGAAGGCATTTCTTTAAGTCTGTAGTATCTCATCAATCACAAGCTATATGAGTCTTAACCACATTTCCCAAAGTAGGACAAGACATTTTAATGACCTTTAAAAAAAGAAAGTGTATCCAAACCCATTTGTTGTAGTGTTTTGAAAAATCGTTGCTGCTTTCTTGGGCAGTGGGATTGGTGGTAAACACAAAGGTTCCCACAAGCGTGCCCACCCGCATATGTGCACACACATGTACAAACATGCATGCACACAGACATGCATATACCCACCCGCATATGTGCACACGTGCACACACATGTACAAACATGCACGCACACAGACATGCATATACCCACCCACATATGTGCACACGTGCATACACATGTAAAAACATGTTTGCACACACATAGATGTATGTGTGCACACACCCACCCGCATATGCACACACATGCACACACATGCACAAACATGTGTGCACGCGGATACATGCATGCATGCATGCATATACCCACCCATGTACATGCACACGTGCACACACATGCACAAACATGCACGCACAGAAGCACACACACATCCTGAGCAGAGCCTCCATGTAGTTTGGTGGCTCCAGTAAAGAGGGGATCTGGGTTGAGGGACTATTGGTGTCAGTAGAAGATCTGCCCTGGATACCCAAGTTGGCTTGTAGTAGCCAAGAAAGTGTTTCTGATCATTTTTGTTAAATGTTTATTTATTTTTGAGAGAGAGAGAGAGAGAGGGAGAGAGAGAGAGAATGTGCAAGTTGGGGAGGGGGAGAGAGAGAGAGAGAGAGGCATAGAACCTGAAGCAGGCTCCAGGCTCTGAGCTATCAGCACAGAGCCTGACGCGGGGCTCAAATGCACGAACTGTGAAATCACGACCTGAGCTGAAGTCAGATGCCTAATCGACTGAACCACCTGGGTGCCCCAACGTTTCTGATCATTTCTAACACAGTTCGGTGAGACAGTGGCCTTGAAGGTGGGCTTTCTGCCCTCCAGCCACCTGTCCCACTCCACCCTCCAGAGCAGCCAAGTGCTGGCAGCTACTGATCACGGGTTCCTTTACGGAAGCTGACACCCCAGCCAGCCCCACCCTGCAGAAGACACGACAGAGCACTTTTGGTCGTAGCGTTAACAGCTGCTGCAGTCTGAGCTGGGTCCCTTTCCGTGGAGGTGAAGGTAATGGAGTGTGGAGACAAGGCTCTATTAGAACGGGAGAATATGAGCAGCTGGAGACCTATCGGGCTGGCACAGAAATGAGTCTCGTGGGCTGGCTCCAACCCCCGGGGCTGAACAGGACCAGGAAGGTGCTGACCCAGTGAAGGTTTGACAGGCTGTCCTGGGGTCAGAGTGACATGAGACAACATAGCACTGTTGGGGTCAGCAGGGGGAGACAAAAGAGAACAAAGGCACTTGTCTTGCCCAACTGAACACAGAGTCACGGGGGCAAAGACACTAGAGGCACTCAGCTAGAGATGATTCTGTGTATTTTTATCATTACAACCCATCTCCGAACAAGGAAACTGGAGTTTGGGGCAAGTTGCCCAGAGTTAGGGAGAAGTTAAAACCAACCCAAGTCGTGGAAGATGAAACCTTGAAACGTCACGTATTCGAGGTCAGCAAAGAAGTGCCTTTGATGGGGCTCCGGGGTGGCTCATTCGGTTGAGCATCCGACCCTCGATTTCAGCTCACATCATGATGTCGCCGTTCATGTGTTCAAACCCCACGTCAGGCTCTGTGCTGACAGTGCGGAGCCTGTCTGAGATTCTCTCTCCCTCCCTCTCTCTCTCTCTCTGCCCCTGCCTGTTCATGCTCTCTTTCTTTCTTTCCCTCTCAAAATAAATAAATAAACATTAAAAAAAAAAGAAGAAGTGCCTTTGAGAAATTGGAAATGAAGCTCAAATTACAGGCATGGTCCCCACGTGGCCAGCTGGGGTGGGTCCCACCACACGTTATTTGTTTTCTTCCTACTCCTCCTTAGGCCTCCCCTTCAGTACGTGTTGCCATGCTTCGTGCTCTCGGCTTCGTTTGCATTTTACGACACTTAGGAGGTAGTCAAGGCAGACATTTGATCCCCATCTTCCAGATGAGGGTGCTGGGACCCTGTGAGGTTAACTGACTTGCGCCGGCCACCCAGCTGGGCAGTGGTGAATCGTGCAGCAGTCTTGGTGTGAAGGATGTTCACAGAAACCAAATATGCGGGTTAGTGCAAAGAGCAGGGGGTGGGGGCTTGCTGAGAAAGGGACCCGCAAGGTGGCTTAGAGATAAGCAAGGTGCTCTTCACAGAGGCTGGGAGCAGGAGGGGAGCTGGCCAGGAAGTGGGAGCTAAGGGGAGGGAGGCATGGAGGGGCCAGATGGTGTAGAGCTCCTTCAAGGGGGTTTCAAAGTCATTCAGGCTCATAAGAGGGGAGGGACAGGTCAGATGCCAGACCCTGCTGCTAAGTGGCAATGAATGCAGGGCGGCGTTCAGATGAAATTGAGGGCCAGAGAGGAAGAGTCAAGTACAGGGGAGAGTGTATGTGGGGGAGTCCGTGAAGACCTGACCCAAGGGGCGGGGCACAAAGGGCAATCAATGGTGGGCGCGGCCAGCCAGCCACCTGCACAGGACAGGGGAGAGACTCGGGGCTGTCTCCAGCCAGCCTGCCGCCTGTGCAGGGGGGCACCCTGGCTCTGCACTGGAGCCCCTCCGTGAAGTCGTCGCCTGCTGCTTTTGCTGGGTGTGAGCCGCGGGGCCCCGGCGGGGCTTTGGATGTAACGTCCTGCCACTTTCCACTTTTTCAGGTCATCGAGTGTATCACCCAGGGTCGTGTGCTGGAGCGGCCCCGAGTGTGCCCCAAAGAGGTGTACGACGTCATGCTGGGGTGCTGGCAGAGGGAACCCCAGCAGCGGCTGAACATCAAGGAGATCTACAAAGTCCTTCACGCTTTGGGGAAAGCCGCCCCCATCTACCTGGACATCCTCGGCTAGCGGTGGCTGGCGGTCACGGATGCGTACTCTGTTGCCTCCTGTCTCCTGGCCTCACATCCTCCCTTGTCACCTCACACTCCTTTCTTCCATCCTGACTGAAGCGAACATCTTCATATAAACTCAAGTGCCTGCTACACATACAACACTGAAAAAAAAAAAAAGGAAAGAAAAAACCCTGTAAGGCAGTTTGGCGAATATATATATATATACATATATATATTTATATATCTAACTATCTATCTATCTATATCCACAGACAGAGAGATACCTTCTCTAATACAGAGAGAAGCTGCTGACACAGAAACCATAAGACTGTAACAACAACTCAGAAAATCTTAAATATTATAAACACAAACGGAAACCCCCTTTGACGGAAGCTGGGGTCCCTGCTTCTTCGGCTCCGGCTTTTCGGAGCCGAAGACCTTGACGACACAGAGACAGTCTTCGTGCGGGGACAGGAGGAGCTGGGGTGGAGTGCGAATTGTTCAGGCGATTACCTGCACAGGTGCGTTTCCCCTCCCTGGCCCCCCCCTCCCCGAGCTCTGCACAGGTGCACGGACAGACCCCATCAACTGCACTCAGGATGCAGCGGGAAAGAACACCGGACCGGGGGCCTCTGGAAAAGCCTCATGTCTCCCCTGACTGTTGCCTCCACGCCTTCCCCTTTCCTCTGCTTCAAGACAGTTCTCCCATTTGTCCATTCTGGAAAGTAGAGTCCTGACGCTTTTGGAAGTCAGTGAGGGTGTGTACCAGTCAACACGTAACAACCGACAAGACACAAAACCATCATGACAATGGACTTCATCCATCTTGGGTGTAAACCACGCTCACGTTCCTTCCTAAATTTGAAAGGGACGTGCCATTTATTCTCTGAACCTCAAGAACTGGACGTTCTGGACTCAGCCACAGAAGAAGAAGCTGAAATTCGAACCCTCCCTGGAAAGGCACTGCCTCTCGTCTTTCCCTCGCTGGAAAGACTCCTCAGCCCCACCTCCCGCATTCGGGCCTTTGGGGGAGTTTGGGGGCGAAGGGAACGTCCGCGTGTTGCCCGCAAATGTGGACGCAGCAGGGTTCCGGTAGCAGGAGACTTCGTTCCTTGTAGGTCGTTATAAAGTGTGCCCCTCCGTGTCCTCTGTTTCTCATCCTGCCTGCCCAGGTCCCCAGCCCCCCACTTCCTGGGCCTCTCGCAAGTCCCAGGTGAACCTCACTGCCAGGGAAGGGAGCCAGGTGTAGTCAGAGCGTGGGGCAGCGCTTGTATCGGGGAGCGAGGCGGTACCGTGGGCAGCAGCCAGCAGGGGAGAATCTATCTGGCACCTGCACCGGCCCCTTGGCATTCTCCTCACGTTTCCAGGCCCTGGAAGGATTGATGCATCTGCCTTTGAGCTGCTGTGAAAATGCAGGGGCTGAAAAATCGCTTTTGTGGGCTGGGGGCGGGGGGAGGGGCCGAGGCTTCTCTGGGAGGTGTCCGCCGCGGGCCACGGCCACAGGCGCGGCATCTTAATGAGGACTGAGCCCTGACCAGGGAGAGAGAATGAGGCGTGTGGGCTGGGGTCCTGGCCGCTGCTGTCAAGGGCTGTCACGGAGGCAGATCTCCGGGCCTCCCCGATGCACGACAAGGAAATGCTTCCGGAGGGCAACCGCCTGGCCCCTCCCAGCTCGCCGGCCCCTCCACCTCACCCCAAGCACAGAGCTACCTAGTGGACTGGCCTTTGCCCAGTGGGAGCCTCGGGGAGTGGGGGGCTCGGACCCGCACCCTGCCCTGCCAGCCGGAGGGGCTGTCGGCGGCCCCCGGCGGCCTGGTCAGCTGCAGTGCGGGCATCCCTGTGGGGTTTGGGACAAATCCTGTATGTGTGGTTTGCTTCTTTTTTTTAGACCCACAAATGTTTTTATTCCAATAGAAAAGAGCTGTGCTCAGACTGTAGGCCTCGGTTGGGAGTTGGGGATCAGTGGGGCCACTCAGCTGGGCTGGGAGGGGAGCCGGAGTTTGGTTTAGGGTTTTCACTGTGCTGGGTTCCCAACCCAGCTGGGTGGAGACTTTGGAGGAGAGCTGGGTGGACCGACCACCTCAGAGGAACCCTTTGCTCTCCTACGGCAGGTATCCTCCTGTCTTTCTGCGCAGAGGCCGTGGCTCTATTCTGGGGCCTCTAATGCTGGCTGAACTGTGCCGTCTGGTGTTGAGCAGGGTAACTAAGAGAGAGGTGAGCGTGGAGGGGGGGCCTTGAGGGGGAAGGGCCTTCTGGTTAGATGTGAGGCCCCAAGGCTCCCGTTGCTGCCAAAACAGACCTTGTGTGGCCTTCCATCTCACAGGCTGTGTTTCTAGAACCTCATGGTCACTGATAGGCTGGGAAGAGGGGGTGTGGGAAGGAGTTGGAAGCTGCTGGGCAACTGGGAATGAGGAACCTTCTAGGGTTTCACCTCAGGGTGCAGAGTCATCACGGCCTGATGGAAGAAGACAGTTCCTTCGGGAGCCAGGAGCCCTGGAAGAGACGGAAGTTGTCTGATTGTACAGGCCCTTGTGCTGGCCATGGGGATGTGTCTGCATCATGTCCCCTGGAAGCCGCTGCCTCTCGTGAGGGCAGAGCAAGGGGCAGCAGAGAGGGAGGCCCGGCTTTCTTACCCCCTTGTCGTGCTCTCTTTGTACAGTCTACATGTTGACTTATGTAAAGGCAAGGAAAAAAAAAAAGCTTTTTGGAGGGTGAGGGAGGCAAAGACTAGGACTGTGGTCACTGAAGGGGCACCCGGGGCCCTGGGAGCAAGCAGGGGACATTATCCCTCCTGTGGTGGGAAGCTCGGCTGACACTTGCTCTACTGGGTCTCAGTCTCCTGTCTGCAAAACAAGAGGTGCCTGTTCGTCTCCGGCCCTTCAGGGTCTGAAGTGTTTAGATTCTCACAGTGCTGAGTCACTGTGCCATTGTTCTCGGTAGCGCCCTGGAATGCTACAGTGGCCCTCCAGGGTGGCCCTCCTCGGGCCTTGCGTGGGCAGGGGCAGCTGCCACCGGGGGCTCGAGGGCCTGGGCCCACATGGGTCCTGTAGACACTCCTCTCCTTCTTGGTGCCTCCGTCACAATGGCAGATGTCCGAGATGACTTTAGACCCAGAGGGCGTGTTTGGTCTTTTTCCCCATCCCCAGCCTCTTTGCACACCTAGAAAGCTCTGGCGAAGGCCTATCCATCTATTTATTTTCAAAGAGCTCAGTGTGACTAAATGAGTCTTACAGTGACATCCCATCAGCCACTGTAGCCACCCCAATCCGTCCCACTGTCACCCCTCCACACCAAAATCCACACTTAAAAAAAGCATGCTAGAGGGACCGTGAAGATGCGGTTGGATGCAGACACCGTCATGAGCCTTGGGGGAAGCTCCAGGTCCCTGAGGCTGACCTCCCTGCCATGTCTTCCTCATCTGGTCCACTCCTGGACTGAGTGACAGGGACCTGCTGTTGGGTGCCCACCTTGGAGTAAGGAGGCATGGCCAAGGGTCCTCCCTGTTCTTGACTTTGGGCGTGAACCAGATGCCGCCCTCTTATTATATCCCTGACCTCAGTGGATCTCGAGACTCACTGAACGTTCTCTTGCTAACAGACGAGAGACTTGTGTTCCTCCACTCAACAGATCATGCCCAGATCCTCCCTGGAGAGAGGCTTCCCTCTGGAGGCCAAGGAGCCTTGGTCCTTCTGGGTTCAGTTTGAACCTTACCCTTCTTCTCTAGTGATACTTATCTTGTGGAATATACTAGTGCAAATATCTTTGGTGCTAAATACTACAGAAACCAACACCCATAGGAGAGCTGACAGCCAATTTCTGGGGGTGCGTGAGACACCCCCTCAAAAGCGGAAGGATTCCGTTGTGCTGGGACACTACAGGATGCATGGGAGCTTGGGTGGGAGCATGCAGGGATGTGGAAAGACCGTCGAATTCCCAGCTCTGCTCTTGGTTACCCAGGTGACCATGGCCAGGTCATAATCTCTCAGAGTATCAGATTTCTCATCTGAGACGTTTGAGAGACCAGAATAGGTATCCTTGGGATTCTTCTCAATTAAAAAAAAAAAATTCTGTTCTGCTTCCACCTATTTTGTTTTCTCTGCTTTTTTACTTGCTTATCAGAAATAAGAGACAAGATGAAAGGCAGGTATGGAAAGGGAGGAGGAAAAGTTACCCAAGGCAAGAAATTGTTTCTGGAAGGCACATAGGGAAGACTGTAGTGATTGGTAGGGTTGAGGGATATTGGGGAGTAGGGGGACAGGCACACGGGCTCACCGGCTGCCGCCTGGCCCCATGGCTGATTTCCACAGGCTTTCCTTCCTCAGCTAGCTGGCTACTCCATTCCACACCGATGCACCGTGAGCCGGCAGAAACCATTCCAAGATAGGGAGACACGCCTGCGTACCTCTCATGCAGGCCACTGGCAATTTGAACTCAGAAACCAACAGATGTTTCCCTTCAAATGCTATTTCCAGGAGGTAGGATGTTGGAAAGAGGGCAGTATTTTAGGATGCAGACTCTTCACCCAAGTCCTTTTCCTTTCAGGAATGATGAATGGTGTCCTTGCTCCTCTTTTCCCAAACTAAACAGCAGCCGGATTGTCTTGTTCAAGGTGTGGTTACTGCAACAGGCAGTCTTGGGCTTTGAGAGCTTCGCTGTGCTTTGCTTAGAGTCTGAAGCCAAGAAACGCCTCTAGGTGTTGATTGAATGAGCCATGTCCTGACAGGCTAGAGGACCACTCTCAGATGCCCCCGGGATGGCTATTGTCAGCTTTGATGGAGCCAGCCTGCTAGAGTACCCAATGGCATTTGCCTTAGAGCAAGAAATGGCACCCTTAGCTCAGGGCTTGGTGCTGTAGCCACTTTGGTGTTGGTCCCTGGTGTGCCAAACTTTTCTTTGATACCAAATAAAATGTTCAGGCTAGCACATAATAGGTTTTAAAGGGAAATTCCAAGTCTTTGTATCATTGTTAAGATCTCAATATAGACTCCAGAAAATGCTTTGGGATTGCTTAACATCATTGGTAGCATCATCTGAGGGGAAGTATAGGCCCATATACATTGTATGTTTATGTCTCTATATTCAATTAGACTGACTTCAGTGAAGTTCTGCTTGGACTCAGCAAACGGATTCCTTGATGCTTGGTCTCTTTCAGTCTCACATTCCTTGGAGATGAGCTATCCAGAGATGGACTGGCCTACAAGAGACAGAAAGATGCTATTGGGAAATCTGTCATTTTGTAAAATTTGATCACTTGGTGCTCCCTGGATTAATGCTGGTGACAACATTCTGGGCATCTGAAAATCCCTGCTTCTGGCAGTCTGATAGATTACCTTGCAGGAGCGCTTTCTACTACTTTCCATTTGGGAGTCAGCATTGAATTTACCAGGACTGTAGACGCAACCACTCCCTAGAAGGGATGGGACAGAGAGAATGCGAGATGCCCATCATGCTCACTCTTTTGGAAAAGTGACTGGTGGATGTGGTGAACATTTGTGTCACTACTTTGGGCATTAGGACTTTTGCTGTAAGCATAAACTGTTTCACCCTAAGGAACTGAATCATGGCTTCTGATAGAGTCCCTGTTTCCCTGGTGCAATCTCCCCAAGCATAGTTTTCCTTGACTTCCTAAAAAAATTCTATGCGTTGCAACAAGAGATGTCTCTGGCCCAAGGGTCAGTGTGCCAATATAGATGCTTTCCTATTTCACAAGGAGATCTGTGGAGATTGAGGTCCCCCTCAAAATACTTGGAATTCTCGATCAAAGTAATAAAATTCAGATTCCCCTTCCTTTTTAGCTAAGTTCCAAATTTAAAACTAGGCCTTGTCTGATACTTGCAGTAGGGATGGTGTCTTAAACCAGTGTGCTGAGTTATTTCCCCTCATACTGAGGCAGGACAGTAAGCTCTGTTAATTTTTCCTCTAATCACCAAGGTAAACATTGCTTTGTATGCAGTGCTATGGCCCAAACTTGTAGTTTGCAAGAGACACTTCTAGCCAACAAAGCTAGACGTTTCTAGATGTATCAAGAGAACACAGATGAGGAAAGTCCTGAGCATCTGAGGCTCAGGGCATCTGAGAAGTACCTTGGAGCTCAGGTGTCTTGCTTTCCAGTTGGACATATTATGAGAAGAATTGGTTTGTTATCACTTTAGACAATGACCAGTGTAGACGTCCTTCATCAAAGTCCAAAGGAAGACTGAGAACCCTGATATCCACTATATTCTCGAACATTGTTTTGGATGCAGTTTCTCCGAAGCACAATGAGAAATGTTAGTACTCAAGTCTAGGTCTGATAGTTATTCCTTCATTTAAGAAGAGTGTATGGAAGTCACTAAAAAAGAAGAATTTTGTGATATGTTAACTGGGAGGACATACTCAAATGAATAGCTTCCTTAAATGTTTTGTTTCTTTCTTGGAGAACTCTCCGTGACCCTTCTCCATTTAACAGCTATGTGACGTTCAGCCAATGCTTCTGAGCCCACCTCTGGGGTAAATGAATAAACCTGGTCCAGGTGATTTGATTTCTGCTTTCTGCAGAAGAGAAGTAAATCTCAGTAAAGAAGATTTTCTTTCATTTTTGTGCTTCTTACTTTTTCCTTTTTTTTTTTTTTTTTTCTTTTGGCTGTATCCTCTTGCCTCCATGGGACTGACAATCCAACATCTCCTACTCCATGAAAGTCTTAATGTGAGGTGAATTCCAGGACCACAAACAGTTAGGACTTCAAACAGTGAGAAAATTGGCACTGAATGATTCGGCACACAAAGCAGAAAACCTTCATTTCCTGCAGGCGGGATGGAATTGACTGTTATATTAAGACTTGTGAAGGAGCCCTGCCCCAGAGTAATTTCGATGCTGTCAGACAACGTTGACATCTAGATTAACCTCTGTGCAGTGAAGTTTACTGCAAAGCTCATTGGGATGCAAGTGGTGTATCTCTGCAAATCCCATCTGGAACCCTAGGTGGCCCATCCCTTCCCCACCCACTGCTCACTCCATCCGTGAACTTTTAGCCCCCAGGAGCAGAGAAGCCATGACTGGGGTCTGAGCCCAGCAGAGGGAGCTTCTTGACCTCTCTCTGACCACAGTGCTGAGCCAAGTTTTCTGCTCCGTGGGAGTGACAGTGGGGGTCACTGTCTTGGTTTTTCCCGAGGGGACTGCACATCAAGGCGTGGAAGCCACTCTGCTGATGACAAAACGGCTTTGCAGCATATCTCGACGCTGCACAAAGTGAAATGGTTTATGAAGAATTAGTGTGCACTGCCTCAGTGAACCCTGCTCTCCCCCCACCCCCACCCCGCTCCCCGGGGTCCCCCCGCAATTCTTGGTGTGGATGTAGCAGGTCAGGGCTACCGCCAGGTGGCCAGATGGGGTAGTGGGTTCTGATGGACAAAGGGCTTGCCCTGGGTCTGTGTAGGGGTTTCCCACAATCCTTATGGGAGAGAGGCAGCCCCAGCTCCTTCCTCTCCTGGTTGGGACAGAGCGTATACCTCTCGGAAGCCCCGGTGTGTCAGCTCTTTCCTTATGGGGTGGTGGGCTCCAGCGTGGCCTGGACCCTTTCTGACCCAACTGTGCCATGCCACGTGAAGGCAACAGCGGCCAGCGGGAACCTCAAGTCTGAATTCACGGCTTCTTTACAAACCGAGGCTGTTAATTACATCAGAAGTCTGAAGAAAAGGCCTTTAGTTTAGATTCCAACTCCTCCACCTTCAGATTCTCTCCTTCGGGCTGCTCCACACCATCCCGGGTGTCTTGGGAAACTGACCTGCGGAGTTTAGAATACCGTGAAGCCCAGAGAGCATATTTCTCCGGGGGGTTTACTGATTCTGATTCTCTCTGAAATTGTTTTTCCTACCTTGCCTCTTGCTTTGAATAGGAGTAACAGTCTCCTTGTATGTTCTCAGATATTTCTTTAGGAGAAATGAAAGCTTCCGGCCAAGGACACTGTGTTTATTGACTGGGGAAAATAGATTTCTGGGCCAACTAATGTCACAGTCATACAGAGGCAAACCTGAGGACATTATTTGAAAGCAATTATCAGTGTTGCATTTTGTTCTAGATGCTCAAGCTCACGTAGTGCAAACTACATTCATCCCTCGTTATTTATAATACTTGTTTAAATGCACACATGTGCACACCATCCCCTCCGCCCCCCACGAATGCATCTTCACTCGTCTTGGTCCAATATGACCTAACAAGCCAATGTGCCCTGCATGTTCATCCCACTGATATCTGTGTCTATGTGCATGCAAGCAAGTATGCTCCAGACATGTGGCTTCTTAAACTTCTCTACAGCTCATCTTTTCTTTTAATATCGTCACACAGCCTGTGACTTTCTCCACTATGGATCATTTTATGAAGTTAGGGTGTTTTCAAAGGAGACTGGATCCCAAGTTTTCAGAACCTTCGTATTTAAAGGTTGGACTAGTTTTCTCAGAGAAACACAAAACCAAAGTAAACCTTGATATAGATTTTATGTGATTAATTTGGAGGATGGTCGGGCGGGGAGAAGCACTGAATTTTGGCTTGAATAATACGTGCTAAGTACAGATATACATGTGAACAGATATACATAGTTCAAGCAGATTACTGAAGCTATCTTGGAGTTGAAGCCTTTAGATAGGAAACTCAAAACATTCAGATTGAATCAGAACTTGATGAGAAAGGGTCCGATTTTCCCTGGGAAAGTTAGATGTTCCATGGGACATGGAAGGAACACTGGGTTGGAAGTGAGTAACTGCACTGGGTGTTTATTTGGTGGATGGCCGTGCACAAGTCACCTCAATTATCTGGCCCAAGGTGGAAGTGTCCTTAGTATAAATGGGCAGCTGGCAGCTAGTTGCAGACTAGCCCTCTCTCTGATTCCAGTGAGGGCTAAGCCGATCTACTTCACCCAGGGACGGCTCCAACCAGCTGTCATTAAAGCGTACCTTCTCAAGTCTCACCCAGAACAAGTGTGCACAGCCTCCCATCCTACAGAGTCAGCCCGGTGTTCATCTTGCAGTCAGTTCACATCTCACACCTGCTGTTGAACGCTGTCCAAACTCTGAACTCCTGTGGTCCATCCGCTGTCCCTGACTCCAGCCCTTAAAGTCTGGCTTTTATCTCTGAAAGTCAAGGAAAGCCCTCTGGGCCCATCTCCTTCTTCCCTACCCTGAGCATCAGCCGCACTTGTGATTGAGCCTAGCTAGGTTCCTGGAGAAGAAAACTGTATGTTCTAGCAGCCATCCATCAGTCTCTTTCCAGCTCCATGGACCAAGTGATTAGCTCCTCATTAGCACCTCATCAGTTGCTTTTGCACCAGAGACTCTGGGACAACAAGCCTATTATAATGCCTCAGTCTGTCTTTTTGAAGTCATCCCTTCCTTCTGGCTCTATTGAGAAAGGAGAGCCTGCTACCAACAGCTTTTCCTTCAAATTTCTCTGGCTTTTTTTTCCCCCTGGCTGTTAAATATACAGATAAATGGTAAACAGTGGCTTTCTCTTTTGTTTTCCAGGCCCCTCCCAGTGTGAGTGTACTATGCCCCTACGGAACAGGAGCACCACAGACCACATGTCAGCACTGTGTTCATTTATTTAGTGGAATGGTTATAATATTGACACAAAGGTTTGCAGCATCTAAATCTTGAGGGGGATAAGAGGCTTTTTCTATCAAATGAGATCTTTACTGTGATGGCACAAGAAGGGTTTATACCTTAAGAACAGCAATGAACCTGAGAAACATGCTCCCTCTTTAAGGAACAATGAGGTGGAAGAAATCACTGGAGAAATCACCAGGACACCAGACCCTCTATTCCGCAAATCACGATGTTTCAATAGATGCTTCAACTCTGTCCTTGACATGGCTCTAAAAACACAATAATGAACTATGATCAGCTATCCACATTTACTACTAAAATTCATCATGTCTAACCCAACCCCTATTTTTTATCAAATATCATTTTTTTTTCATAACTCTGGGGATAGTTCAATGTTGCTTTTTTTTTTTTTTCTGGGCCCCTTCTAATATTTTCAGTGAGGTTTTTTTTTCATTTTTATTTCTTTAGGAAAGACGTGGGGTCTATGTTAAATATTGTCTGTGATAAAATGGCAAGTGAGGTGGAGGGAGGTGATGGGCTGAGGACACAGAGGACCTCTGAGCTCAACTTCCTGCTGAAAAGCATTATCCCTTCTGTGCCTCAGTTTCTTAAGCCACAGAAAAGAGCCGCTAACAACCCCCCTCCCGTCACGGAGGGTTGTAATGAGCACCCAATGAAGTCATAGCTGTCAAAGTGCTCTGTGAGGGCCACAGGACCCCTTGACGAGGTAAAGCCCCCTCTCTGGCAGTGAGTGTTGCAAATAGGCTTGCTGATGCCGAGCTGTGAGCGGCTCTGGCATGTGCCTTCTTTCGAGGCACACAAGCAGTTTCTCCTTCAAATTTCTTAAATTCCCCCTGCAGTCCGGTTTCTAGATTGTGGCCTTGGCATTTTCCTCTTTGGCCACCGCGCTTCGAGAGATGGAGAATACCTTTACAAAAATATAAGCAGAAGGAGGATAGTTTATCCATTTGGCTTTGTCATTGAAAAGAGATTACCGGTAGGTTTTGTTTTCAGGCCTGGAACCCTGAACATTTTATAGCAAGATGCCGTCTCCTGCTGCATTGAACTCCAGATCATCCGTTGTTGATTTTATGAGATTCTGTAGATTTAAATGTAATGTTTTTTAACTGAAGACTGTATGAAGCTTCCTTTATAAATTGGGTGGTAAAACTAATCTTGCAGGAAGTACCCGAAGTGATAATGATCCTGAAGCAGCTTTGCATTCATTCTGGGGCCAGCATTTTGTACATGGGGAAATAACTTTAAGATGGAATGAACTGCTTGAGTGAAGACCAAATGCTAAACCACACTTCTGATAGCCTTGAGCACCAACAAGTAGGTGTGAGTGGGATTCCCACTGAGAAACGCCTCTGATTGAAAATGAAACCCCTGACAGTAAATCCTGAGGCCAGATTGCCAAGGTTACAACAGTGAAGTCATTTACAGCCCCTAAAAAAATCCCAGGTGTTTGTAGCATCAGCCACTATTTTAGGTACCTTGCAATGGTGACTACTTGGCAAGGTTAATCTTTAGAGTGTGATTTCCTTTAGATTTCCGAGCCACAACCAGGTGTGATGTAACTGACTAAGAGCTGTGCATGATTAAAAAAAAGAAGATTTTGATCACTCCAGAGAGGAATCAGAATAAAGCCGAGTACCTGAAATCCTAAGAAATCCACAAATATTTTGCTCAAGTTCAGACTTCTGTTTTCTCTTTTTACCTTGGGCTCAATTTTTGTTTGTCTTACATAGAAAAGCAACATCTCCATGCTGAAATTCTGTGCCCCCCCCCCCCGCCCCCTGCGCCCCCTGTAGCTGTGCAGCAACAGAAAGCATTTCAGCTTTCTTTGAAAGGAGAGTCTAAATTGGGTTATGACTAGGATTTTAAATTACGGTGTGAAATTGGAGAAGGCAAGCTAGTTCAGGGCAGTGTTCCATAATTCATTCTGATAATCCCGAGGAGATGACCTCCTTCACAGTACTGTGAAGGCCTGCTTTGAACAAGCCGTTTCACTGTGTAACTTCCTAGTGACAAGACTGATTATTTAAGGATTTCAGAGGTATCATTTGAGAAATAACTCACTGGAAGTGGAAAATTTGATCTAATATGTTAACAGGAAGAAGAAGAACTTATTTTAATGCTTTTTTCCCTTTCCTGAGAATTTAGTCTTTTTGAGGGGCTATTGGGACACTTCCTTTTCAAGGCTAGAAAAGATTAATTTTAGTTCATGTCTAAAAGCAAAGACCCCCCCTCAAGCCCAGTAGAGTCGGAAGCAACCAGAAATGGCTCATGGTAGTTTTCTGTTACCCCACAGCATCAAGGACCCTTCTTGTTTATGTGTGTGGGCCATGGTGGGTAAGCTCAAGGGCACTGTCCAAATAAAATGAAAAGAAAGCAAGTCAGGACAAGAACATTCTCACTTTGAATGTGAGAGAAAACAGCAGTCCTGCTTTCTCTGGCAAAAAACTGTGTACTGTTAAGGGAAGAATTATGTTCCTTCTTAAGTAAGTTTCACTTTCAGAGAGAGAGAGAGAGAGAGAGTGTGTGTGTGTGTGTGTGTGTGTGTTGGCTGAAAGGGGGTGGGTGGAGCCAGTAAAGAAATAGTTCTGGGTTTAGACCTTAGGCATAGTAAAAGCTCTGCTCAGTTTCTCAGAATGTGACAATAAGATTGGGGTGGAGAGAAATTCAGGGGCCCATATTCCAGTATGTGGTAACATTTTACCTAAGTATTTCCTTCAGGAACTTTTAATCATAGCAAGTCAAATCAATCCCATGTCTGTAATTGGTATCAGGAAAAAGAAGTATGTAGGTAATTTCTGCAGCCCCTAATGCTTTTCTAAGAATTGGAGGTCCTTGCATTACATGAGGGAATATGTAAGTAGGGGCTGAATGGGGAGGTAGATTGGATGAACTACCCCATCAGTATTATGGCGATGCATTAATTCTGTCCTGCAGGAAAACCAGGGTCACTTCAGGGCCGCTTTCATTAAAATGGCATAAAAAGAGGCATTTGAAACATGTTTTGGGACTGCTACCTACAGTCAGCCTCTGCTGAATGAGTTTTCACTTTGATGAAGACACAGTTTCTGGCTGGTCAGTGATTCCTGGGTATCTGTTTTCAGCACCAGGGACAGCAAACACCTCCCTCAATTGAATTAAAACCTATCTTGATTGGCCTTCTAGGCAAGGCAGAGTAGGTTTTTCCTTTACTTCCTATCCATGGGGGCCTCCGCCTGCAAGACTTTATTCTTAAGTTCAGGTGTTCACATCTTTTATTTAGCTCTAAGCCTAGTGGCTTAGCTGTTTTTGTCACATTCATCAACAAATGATGAAGGCTGGACTAATACTGCCAGGTCTCCTGGCTCAGAGGAATGGCAAGAAAGACGCCTAGACATCAACGGACAGCACACTTAGGCAGAGGAACCCTCTGCAGAAAGTCTTCACAAGGCACCATTGATTTGTAAACTCCCAAATGGGAGGCTGATTATTGGCAATTGCTTCCTTTTTTTTTATCTGCATGGTTCCCATAAAGTACAGGTCTACATTTTATTCTGTGTGCATTTGTAGGCGATATTTCACAGGAGGTGAACAGAAGCTATGAGCTTTGGGGGAAGAAAAGGGCCCAGTAATGCTGTTAGTAAGCCTTTTGGAGACGCTAGGTAGGCACTGCTTTGAATGCCAGCAGCCACCCTTCAGATCTGAGTCCTGTTCAGCAGCTAACTTTGCCTTAAACAATGCAAATGGCTCCTTGAAGCCTTCATCAGGCCAGACTGAAGGGGTACCCTGAGAAAATGAGCATAGCAGAAGCAAATGTTTTCATTTGGCATTGTGATTGACCGGTTGTCATTTAGCACAACAATAGTGCATAAATGTCATCATAGAGGTACCATTGTCTTCTTTTAACAATCAGCTATATCCTCCTCACTTTTGTCAGGATGGCCCCCCGGGCTGAGAAAGCAAGACAGTCACTGCACATTTCATCTTAAATACTGTCTTCTATTTCACAGACGTTGAATAAATTCCACTTCAGCTGCCTCTGGACCATCCAAAGCTCTGAGCACTCCCTCTCTTCTACTTTCTCTCCCACCTTCAATGTTGCTTATCATAATTCATAACATTTGGTGGTCTACGACCATAAAAGATTCTTTTTAGGATAAATCAGGTGGAAGCAGCAGGCCAGAGCCAGGTCTCAAAGGAGCAAGTTCAATGGAACTGTAATGTTTAACCTTGGGGTAGGTCTGAGGAGAAGCCATCCTTCCCCTCCATTCCTTGTCCTCCTGAGGGTGTCCTATTCCAGTGCTCACACTTGCCGTGCAAAAAAGGCATGAGTTCCTCTAGATTATTTGTGTGAAAGCTAGGGGAAGGCAGGTTCAAACATTCTCTATTAGAGTCCCTTTAGAATGGAGGAGATTTGTTTTACATTGACATCAAGGAAAAATCTTAGTTTGGAAAGAATGTAAGTGGAAGATCAACAGCTACAGGAGAGCTCAATAAGAGAAGTGTTTTTTTTTTTTCCCTTAAAACAGAGAAGAAGAAGTTGCAGATTGCCTGGTGGGAAACAAATGATCTACTGACCAGGGAGAAAAGTGGTCTGAGACTAGAGATACAGAAGCAGACATCTCTAGAAGTAGAGATGATGCCAATCAAAGTCTTGGGAGGGAACAGACCAGAGAATAAAATTGTATGGAGGTTCTCAGTACTTTTTCTGGAAAATTCCTATAATATTCAAGGGCACTTCTAGCCCTCTGCCTACTTAGAGATGAACTCAGTGCTACTTCTGGGTTCTTAAGGCAAATGCCCTACAAACACCAAAGTCTTGTATTTTCCACTGTCAGTCAACACTGGCTGTCTTGAGTGGGATTATTTCCCCCTTCCCTATGTGAAAGGGACTTGTTTTCAGGAGAAGTGTCCTTTAAACATCCAGCTAAAACTGGAGGTAATTTTTTGCATGAATGGCTTTTTACAGCTAGGTCTAAAGCAGAACAAAACTTGTATTAAACTAAGTGCTACTTTACATATCTTATTTCAAGGGAAATGAAGGATTTATTGCCGTGTAAATGATGTACACTGATTTGTTTCCTACTGGACATTACATGTCCCTTTATCTTTAGGCTGATGTTGTGCAGCAAACTTTCAATATCTGGAAAATCAGCTGGTACCTACTTCAGTGCACTCGTAGGATGTTATATTCTCAGAGAAGAATCTTGCAAATGAAGTTTAGGTGCTGCTATAACTGATTTTCATCCCTATCCCTAAGCTTTCTGTACTAAATATATGTAAAGTGATTATATCTTGTCTGAGCCCATGTGTTTGTGTGTGTTTCCCAATGTTTATATAAACATATTGGCCATCTGAAGCATTAGTTGGATTATGGTGACTGATGAACAATGGTGTACATGGCATGTGGACATGTGATACATACACACACTTGTTCCGAGGCCAAGCTAATCTTACAGAGTTTAGGAAACCATACGTGGCATGGCTTGGGAAACGTTCAGCAGCGGATGTAGTACAGCCAAGCCACCATTCACAGTGGAGACCTTGACAGCAGCAGAGCTGAGGTGTGCTCAACTGGATTGTATGTCATTTATTTTAATCCCAATGGATTGTTCTTCAGTTCTGTTTAATGATTTAGACGTATTCCATCATGATGCTTGTTTCTTCCCCCCAGGCCACTGGACAGTGCTGATCATGTTTGTTTCCCATCATTTCGATCCCAAAGTTGTTAACTTAAAATGGGTGACTGAGGTTTTAGTAAAACTGGGTTTTACTAGTAGTAACCCCTTCCTTGAGGTACTATTTTTTCCATTCTCTTCATTTATGACAACTAAATCCATTGGCTATGCTAAGTTTATTTGCATCCTAGCAAGTCCTGGAGAATCAATTTAGTTAAAATAATGACTGTATTTGCCTTCAGAGAAGAGGCTTGTGGTCTAAATAAAATCCTTGGGTAAAGGTGTCTTTTATGCAAAAAATATGGATTCTAACTTGGTAAGATGGCCCCAGGGTAGGGGGGATGTGTTCTCAGTTGATATTAAGGGATGTGTTGAAAAGGCAAGTGCCCTCCCTTTCTCTGTTCCCCACCCCACCCTACCTTCCTCCCCAACCTCAAAAGAAAACAGAAAATTATTTTTTTAAATTGTATTAATAATTTATGTTTAATACAAAAGGATGATTTAATGGTATCACCAAAGGTCATTTCTCCCATTGTGCATGTCCTTCACTCAGCCCCGTACCCATCACCCCATTCTTCACCCTCATGCTTCCATCCCGAGGCAAACATGTGTCTTCATTGGAATCTATCAGTGTTGAAGTTAAATGTGGGGGCAGAGATTTAACACCATGACATTAATGAAAACCACCCATTCTTCACTTTCAAATAGTTAATTGCTACAAGAAGGCAAACTCTTTTCTTGGTTATTGCTTAAAAACATTTTATACATATATATGTATATATGTGTGTGTATGTATGGACATATGTATGTATATGCACATGTACATGTATATATGTATATATCCATCTCCAATATAAATATATCATATGTGATAGTTGTAAATACTTCTTGGTCATGTCTGTCTTCCTCATGGTATCATATCTTCAATGTTATGTTAACAACTCCATTTATTGATTGATGAAATCGTGTGTAGACCTGTATCCTCCTGACATAGTTTATGTAGGGTCTCTTCTCAAATAAAGTATAAAACATGAATGCTCTTGTTTTATTTGGATTCATTATTTAGTAGAGAAGTGTGTTGGATTTAAAGGTATGTTGAAATCTGGCAAAGTCCAAATGTGTGCAAAAAGTATAGGATCCAGTATCATCTTGACAGCTGAGACCCTGATTTGCTGAGAGTAAAAGTTGCTTGAAAAATGTTTAAGGTAGACCCTAGGTTGAATATAGGATTGAGATGAGTGTTTCAAGAAGAACATACACACATTTTTGATTTGAGGCATGGCTGAGCTGTATGTCATGGTGGTGTCCTATCATTCCATGTATGTTGTTATTCAACTTCCTAGTTACAATAATTTCAATAACAGTTTTAAGGTGGGATAAGATATGTTCCCTTGGCTATTCTTTTATCCCAAAGGTTTTAGGATTCATTGACCTAATTACTTTAAAACCCCGTCTCCGTCTTCTTTTCTTTCCACTAACCCTTCCTTTCTCTCCATCTTTCTCTCTCCTTTCCTTCATATAATGTGTTTCCTATAGTGAAATTTCAAGACTTGCTTCTATTAATTTCTTTCAAAAGCACTGATGGTTGTGGGAGAGAGACAGGGAGGTTCAGTTTGTAATTTCAATCATGAGAGGTCAACAGAGTTGTGGAAAGATTTAAGGCAGGGTTCCCCCACCTCATCACTGTTGACATTTTGGACCAGAGAATTCTCCATTGTGGGGAGCTGTTCTGTGCATTTTAGGATGTTTATCAACATTTTCATTAGAAGCACTCTTCCTTCTCTGTCCCCCTCCCAGAGTGTGTCAGCCAGAAATGTCTCCAAACATTACCCGGTGTGTCCCCCAGGGGGAGCAAAGTTGCCCTGGTTCAAAGCTACCAGTTGAAGAGCTTAGATCTCATCACACAATATCACACGGTATTAAAAGAGGAATTAAATTCAGGAAAATTGAGAACCCCAGGTCATGTGCCAGCCCTTTCTAGCCCAGCCGCTTATCTGTACCACATGATAAACTTGTCTGTTTTCTCTAAGCACGTCTCCCCTCAAAGCCTATTGCTAAGGATCAACTTGCAGCACCACATTTGGGTTTCAGAAGACAATAGAAATCTCTCCCTAATCTCCATGTATCAAAAATGTTATCCCTAGAATACCTGCCCATACCAATTTACAAAAAAATGTATAATACGTGGGACTCTGTGTGGGAAGAAGCCCAAATGGCCTTTTCGAAGGTTCTATCCCTGTGAAAGAAGCTGGCATAGCCAAAGTACAGAAACATTGTCCTTCAATTGTCCCTTGTGATATAAATCATACTTCTCACCTGGCCTTGCTCCATGGCCATATAAACTACAAGGTCATAATTAGGTCAACAAAAATCCTTAGTATATACATTTCTTTTTAATGAGTAAGCAAACATGCATTAAATCTTTCCAGTCAAGGGCTAATGTTGTCTATACAGTGATATGTGCTTAGTATCTACTTACTAGACGTTTGTTGAGTTGAACTGAATTTCTCATTGTCCAAGGCCCAGATCATTTGTACAGCATGCAAAGTGCTGTCACTATGCCTCATGAACCCAACTTAGAAAAACCATTCAGGATCCAGAATTCTGAACAGCCCTGACAATGTGGAAATTATGAGTAAATATCTTTCCTCCCCAGTCTGTGGCTGGTCCTGCAACAGTGGCCTCCCATGGCAGCAACCATGTCAGAACTGGGCTTTTAAAGGCAACAGTACATGCTTCTCAAAGTAGGATTTGGAAGAATGCCCTCTACAGTCTAGGCCTTGTGGCTTGGCTCTTTCATTATTTAGAGTGGTGGTGGCAATCAACTGGAGCGAGTGACAGCAGATCCTCCTACACTCCTACCTTCCTTTCATCCTTGAAACCCTCAGCCCATCCTCCCCAGAGGGTCCTTCCTGCTCCACACAAAGACCAAAGGTCTCGAGAGCTCACATCTGTATTTTAGAGTGTCCTCACACCCTTGTAACCCATGATTTGTCATTTATTTTGGAAAGGGATTACAAGGATTTGACAAATTTATGGACTTTTGGGCCTGGAAGGTCCTTGACTGATAATCTCATTCAACTACCTGCCTGTAGCTAGGAGTCTCAGGTAAACAAAAACTGGAATAATCTCTCAAATAAAAGCCTCTTTCAGTACCAGAAGATATGGATAATACATGCTTCTAAAAAATCATCACCCCAGTGGTGACACAAAGAAACAATCACCTGACAAACTTCAGAAATAGCAACTGGCCGTCCCTGAAACGGAACCTGGAGGCGCCTCTAATGGCATCAACAGAAGTGCTGGGAATGCACTCGTTAGACACGAGGTAGAGATGCAGATTTATCACAGCTGATGTCCTTGATTAGGGGTTAATTCTTGGCACAGATCATGGACATACATAGGAGGGAGCTTTCAAGGATACTACCTGAGGTTCTCAGAACACATTATCTTAATATTTCAAGGCATGGTGGGTCCCCTTCGCCTGGGCCAACCCCATTCCTTTGTCCTGTTGGGATGCTCAAGGTTACTTAGCTATTAGCCAGGGAGATGTTCTATTTTAACCTCCCTTTCCCTCCGTCACCAATGCTTGCAATGTTCTCAATTATTCAAATCGCCACTGCAAGGCTCAGCAGAGGGTCTAATTACTGCCCTGCTTGCCATTGCTGATGAGCTGCAAGGGCCAGGGAATGACTTTAAAGCAGTAAAGTCTGGAGGGGCAGCTTCCTTGAAAAAGTCTGTGGGAGTCTCAGTCTTATCGTGGAGAGCTAGATGGTGCAGCCTGGAGGATTTGCTGGATAAGGCCATCTCCAGACTATAGCTGATTGCCAGAGAGCCACACCTCAGGAGAAAGCATAGTCCTTGGCTGAAATCCATGATTCTTTGAGTGTCTCAGCCATAGTCCTTTTTCCCTCAGACTCTTGTGAACAAGCACACACCCCCTTAGCCACTCCAGCTCAAGTGTCTTCGCGGACAAATGCTACAATATGGAAATCCAGAGGCTTTGGAATAGGCAAGGTGCCAGGACATGGTAAGGGGCATTCATACGCAGGTCAAAAGTCGCCATTTGCCAGGCTCTCTGACAAGATTTCTTTCAGGAGTGCCTGGGTGGCTCAGTTGGTTGAGCATCCAACTTCAGCTCACCTCATGATTTCACGGTTTGTAGGTTCGAGCCCCACGTCAGGCTCTGTGCTGACTGCTCAGAGCTGGGAGCTTGCTTCAGATTCTGTCTCCTTCTCTCTTTAACCCTCCCCCACTTGCACTCTGTCTCCATCCCTCTCAAAAATAAACAAATGTTACAATTTTTTAAAAGATTTAATTATTTTAAGAGGGACAGATATTAATATTAATTAATTAATATTGTATAAATGTGCTAATCAAGCCTCAGAGGTTAGACAGTTGTCCGAGGCTTCCCAGTTACTTGAGGGAGAGGCAGAGTTTGAACCCAGCAATTGGTCTTAATCACCACTGTATGCTTCCTATCACATGGGTGGAAACTTTTGCCCAAGACCACAGTGGAGGGTTCTAAGCCAAGAAGACAGAAGAGAAATATGGTTTGAAGGACTCTTTTAGGATGGTCATTCCTTTATTTATTCACATAATAAATTTAGGAGCGTTCTTATGTTAGATGTACTACAACGTGCTAGAGCCTGGAGACCTTGTCCCATTCTCCAGATCCCACGGTGAACAGAAGATAGTCTAGATTACTAGAGTAAGGGTATAACAAGATGCAGAAGGAAGGCAAAGGAGGACAGAATTTTAGTTCACTACTTGGATGATGGCTAAGAGAAGAGTTTTTGATAGAGACTCCCAGGGCTCCTCTGAGAACAGAGTCAACCTCTCACTCTTTTTGCCCTTATGTTGTGTATGGTAAGTTCTAGGGCTTTGAGATACATCTAACTGGAATTCAGTGGGAGCCGTGACCTTCTCCTGAATTTTCCTCCAGGTGGAGAGCCAGAAGAAGCCTTCTCCCAAGACCTTTTGCACACCTTGACCTAGAGAGCAGGGTGATGTCTCCATCGCGTTCTGACACCAGGGACACACTGGCTCTGCTCATTTCCTATCTCTATGAGATGAAACAATCCACCGTCTCCTGCTACATAATGGAAAGCCCCACTGGCAAAGTTATGTGCAATGGGGCTGATCATAAACATGATTTATGGAGTTAGTTCATTTACTGCCGCTGATGCTGGCCCCAGCTGCCAGGAGTTTGACTGACAATTTCTGTTTATTTATTTCTCACTAGGTAATACCTGACTTCACATTATAAATTCTTCTGATTGGAATTTCATGGCATCTGTTCTGGTATTTATTGATGGCATGCTCATCAGGGACTCTGTCCTTTTTTGGGATGAGCTGGGCTCTGAGACCCTGGTTCTGTCTGTCAGAGTGAGCTAGGGCCCTGACATCCCAAAGTGAGAGGACTTCACTGTTGCTACTTGTGCCTCGTGACAGACACCTGTGTTAGAGATACGGACACCTGTGATGGATATCTCTTACGGTTCAGAACCAGTGGGAATAAATGGCAAAGAGGCAACGTGGTGTTTGGCCACTTGCAAGGGGTCTGGTGGAGTAGGATATAGCATGCCAGATCCTGCCTGGATGATGGTGGCTGTGTCATTTTCCTTATTCCTCCTTTCCTAGTCCACAGGTGGGACCAAAAGGCCACTAGTTTTCAACTCTTAAATGGGGCATAGGTCCATGTAGACAGAAGAGAGTTGGACTCATTCATCTTGAGCTGATGGTCTCGCCATGTTGAAGTCTCCACGTTCGAGTATAATCAGAGGAATCGGGGTGAGAAGTCACTTTCAAATGTTCATGAGGATTCTCATGCTAAATTAGGAGACAGTAAAGGTTGGCCAGAATACCTAGAAAGAGTTATAATGATGTTTTCCTCTCCAGTCTATACATGTAGGGTTTTCCATCCAGAAATAGCCAATCACCAAATTTCGCTGAGACAAGCAGCATTGTTAAAAACCTGGCTACATCTCTGTCATAGGAACTTCACGTTTTTTCTAGAGAAAGGTCGTGTTGTT